CACTCCTACCAGCAATGGAAGAGTGTTCCCCTGTTCACCAAAGTGGACAACAGAGAGAATTTAGAATAAAAAAAAAAAAACAAGTTTAAGATGGGCCTACCTTGGAAACCAAGAGCTAGAGAGACTGAAGACACTCACAGAAGATTTCTCGGGATGTAGGTAGACAACAGACAGAGAAGGTCCTTATCTTAGAGTCTTGAGTGCAATGCCAAGGCTGAGCTCAGAAGTATATAGCTTCAATGTTCTTTCCAGTGCTCATCTTGTTCTACACACTTTTCAGCCACCTCCTCCCTCAAGGTTCTGTTGGGTTGAAGTAGTACTTATACCAAGGCACAGGGAATCATTTTCTCTCATGGTGCTGTCATGCATAAGTTGACTGTGCTCAAGTAAATAGCCTCTTATCTGAACTCACACAAGCATAAGCATCCCTAATGAATTCAGAGAGTCACCAAAAAGACATAAAGTCTCCCTCTCTCTCGCTCTCTCTCTCTCTCTCTCTCTATCTATCTATCTATCTATCTATCTATCTCTATCTCTATCTCTCCTCTCTCACTCGCTCACTCTTGCTCTCTCTCTCTCTCTCTCTCTCTCGCTCGCTCGCTCTGTCTCTCTCTCCTTTCCTCCCTCCCTTCCTCTCCCTCCTCTGTGTGTGTGCACATGCATGCATGCCATGGCACACAGGTTGAGGTCAGAAGACAACTTGTGAGTGTCAGTTCTCTTCTTGTGTTGTATAGGTCCAAGAAATGAAACTTAGGTCATTAAGCTTGGCAACAAGCACATTTCCCCCATGTGAGCCAACTCACCAGCTCCCCCAAAGTAAGTTTTAGTTCCATTTACCTTTTCCAAAAGTTTCCCTTTGAACTGCCATTGCTTCCACATAGTACAAAATGTACTGTATTTTTTTTTAATTTTGTTCTAGCAAAAAAGACAAGTCCATAACTGAGATGGAAAACAAGTGAAGAAATAATTAAGTTCATAGGTTTCAGGATAATACTAAAGGCTCTGTTGAAAAAAATCTAAGGATTAAAATTCAGCCAAATTGAGAACTGCATGTTCCTTCCATATAATAATGTACTACAGCCAGACAGAGAATGCAAGAACCATCCCAATGCTGGACTTAATCTCCATTAGTTACTAAGGACAATAGTCTATGACATCACACGCTATTGATTACAACTAATGTAAGTGTGAACTATCTTTGTCTAGTACAAAAGACAATCCTGAAGATTAAGGTTTCATACCTTGAAAGTTATTATCTAGTTTGGATCCCTTCTTAGCAAACTCTCCTCAGCATAGTTTTCCTGAGAGATCCAGTAACCACTTTCCTTCTCATTGTCTCTTACGCCAGGCTAATCGCTTCCTCTGCAATTAATTAAATAACTTTGACTCAGGCTTACATTTTTGTGAATATAAGGATATAATTATTTTACTGCACATAGACATTCAATAGTGCTTCTCTTTAAAAATCTCGGCTATCTCACAACTTTTCAACTTATACAGATATCAGCATTATGTGAGCCATAGTTACATAGGGAACTAAAATACAGAACAGACAATATAAATAGGCAAATATACAAGAAAGAGAACATGGCAAGGTATGGTTTACCTGACAGAACTGGTGTATCCTTAAAGTCCTCTATGGAATGCTGGGGTGTGTATGACTCATTCATTCTGATAACCCAGATGACAGTTTTGGTTGATGCTCTGTGATCCCAGATGATGGTCTTGGTTGATAATCTGAGATCACAAATGATGATATTTGTTGATGTTTTATAATCCCAGAAAATGCTATTGGTTGATGCTCTGTGACTCTAGATGATGGTATTGCTTGGTGTTCTATGGGAAAGTTAGTGAAAACCCTTATAGGCAGCAGTTGTCTCTTCTTGTGAGAGAAAACCCTGGCATTTGCAGAATGGAAGATGCTCATTGTATTCAACTTTCCACAATTTGGTCTTTTAAGAAGTAGTATGTTCCCAGGGGCTAAGCTTTGTTGTCTGTTGCTGACAGGTTCAGCAATCAGAGGCAGAAGAAGCTAAGTCATTTTATAAAGTTCAAGCATAGGATAGGCTTCCATATGCTCTTATAGACACTTGATAAATGCATTTTTTCTGGCCAGAACTGGGATAGCCAACGGCAAGAACTATTTGATACCAACTAGATGTGTGGTTTCCAAGTATCTATCTGACTTATGGTACCTATTCCATGTGTGGTTTCTGATGTAATGGAGCTCTTCTCTGTAGGTATCACAGGTCCTGCTCAAACCTTAATCTCAAACTTCCACTCTCCAGAACAGTGAGACAATGAATTCTTGCTGTTACCCCACTCATCTTGTTTGGTATTTATTGCAAAATCTCCAAGAAACTAATGCAAGTGTGCCTACTGTAGTAGCTATACAAAAGATTCAGATTGAAAATTCCCAGTTCTGACATGTGCCCCTTGGCTAAAATTATTGCTAAATTATAATATCTGCCTTATTTTTAATCTTATTCAAAAATTTTTATTACAGTGTGTGTGTGTGTGTGTGTGTGTGTGTGTGTGTGTGTTCACACATCCACAGCACTTACATGGAGCCAGGAGTCAGTGTTCTCCTTCCAAACTGGCCCAAACTCCAGTCATCAGGCTCAGCCTCAAGCACCTTTATTGAGCCTTTCTGCTGGCCTCTGGCTGCCATTTTTAAATGACTGTAATGGAAGAGGCAAACATATAATAAACAAAAGCTGATCCCCTTCTTTTGAACTATTTCCCCATCTCTTTTCCTGTCTCCTTCTGTGTATGGCACCCTGTGAGGTTCATTAGGGTTGCTCACAGGAACATGGATGAGTGTTTCTTTACAGGAGCATTGGAGTCTTGGTTACAGCACTGTACATGTTTGTCCCTCATGCTGCAGTCATCAATTGCCTTTCTATCCTCAGGGAAGGACCAGACCACACAATCCCCTCCCTCCATAAATGAACAAAGTGTTGAAGGGCACAACCTTGTGAAGGCCTTGTGTTATAATTACAGCTAATGAAAGTTCCAGAGTCATAACTAGAAGACAGCCCTCAACTCTGTCGCCACTTCCACAGCTCTTCTTTTGGTCGTTCTAAGGAAGCGTTTCCTATCTCAGAAAAACTCAGTCTCCATTAGGTACAAGCTGCAATGCTTACAACCAGAGATACATAAGAAGGAGGATTGGGTATTTAAATAAATATTATATTTAAAGGAAGGAACATAAAAATTAAGTCTTTTATAGAATTTTAAGATAATAAAACATCATAGAACTTTGATCAAAAAAGACAGTGTAGATATAGTTTCTTCACGCTGAGATTGGGTTTAAATATGAAATAGTTCATTTTCAGAAGCTTAAAGAACTCCTTTTTGACAATTGTACAATTTTATGTAAAGGAGAATCCTGGGTAGAGTTGTACACTACAGCTTTTTTTTTTTTCATTGAGCCGAGTTAAACACAAAGAAGAATTTTGGCAGAAAAAAAAAGAGTTTCAGTAAAAAATAAGTAAAAGATGGTCCTAAAGATTTAAATCATGTTACAAAAGCAAATTTTATTTTATACTAGTCATGAAGATGGAAAGTTAAGTCTCAAATGATGGGTGGTGTCCGAAGATACAAGGCCAGCCACAGAGCTGGAGAACCCTAACGGAAACACATGAGCAATAAAAATGAACAGGGGAGCCAGGCATTGGTGGTGCATGCCTTTAATCCCAGCACTCGGGAGGCAGAAGCAGGCGGATCTCTGTGAGTTTGAGGCCAGCCTGGTCTCCAGAGCAAGCACCAGGATAGGCTCCAAAGCTACACAGAGAAACCCTGTCTCAGAAAAAAAAAATACGGAACAGGGTACCCTCTCAAGCTTCTCACTTTCCTGATCACCAGAACCTCACACATTTGCCCTTGTAGCCCAGAAGCCCAAAGGACCTTCACATAACTTAGTTTGTATCAAGCAATAGTCCCAACAGGAAACCAGGAGGGAAAGACTGGCTAGGGAGCAACAAAAGTTTCCATCCACAAAAAGAAATAACTAGATAGTTGTCAACCAGTCACTTCCTTTCTGTGTGTAGAAAGACACTGGCTAAAGAAATAATAAGAGCATGACCTACCTAAAGAGGAACATAAGCAGATTCATTCAGGCTAACTCCATTCTTTATAAAGAAACAGAGTGATATCAATGATATAAGATAGAAGATAGATAGATAGATAGATAGATAGATAGATAGATAGATAGATAGATAGATAACAGTGTGATAGCTCTTGCCTAAAATCGCAGCTCTTGGGAGGCAGAGAAGAGATAATTAAGAGATCAAGGCCAGTCTCAGCTACAACTACAGCTACACAGCAAATTCACTGTTAGCCTGGACTCTATAACATCTTATATCACAAAATTAATAAAAAGAGGGAGAGAAAAATAAAAATTAAATTGCAGACAATTTACAGCCAAAGATAGATAAAGAGGGAAATATAAAGAAAATGGGAGTGAAAGACACAGCAGGAGAGAAAAGAAGAGAGTAGGGAAGGAAAGGTGAGGAGTGGAGAGAGAATGTACAAAAGTGAAAAGAAGAAAGATAAGTCTCTAAGGGAAGAGCTAAGCATGTGATTTCATCTTCTCATTCACAGTGAAGGAGAGAGGAAGGTCACGTGGCTAAGAATGTAATATCTTGAGGGCTAAAGTGAAATATTAAAAGATTTTCCCACTGCAAATAAGGCAATTAAAACTATTCAATTTGACAAAGTACTGGGCCCAGTTGAATTCTTCCATAATTCGGGAGGAAAAGAAGGTAGCAAGGGAAATACGAAGCCGTTGGCAAAACTCTTTGATAGCTCAATAAGAAAAGAATAAAGGAGTGATCACATTTGAGCCGCTAATAAGCCTTCTTAGGTTTGTCTAGAAAAAAAAGAAAATCATTAAAAGAACACGTTTTCCCAACTTCAATTATTAAACACGGGAATAGGGATTCTTCGAAGAGAAGCAAGAGGTCTGAATTAGGAACTGAAATTTTATTTCTATTCAGATTTCAGGAAGGCACTTCATTGCTGAAGCAAACCATCCAAGGAAAAGAAAAACTCACTAGTAGCTGAAACATCCCCAAGTGGACATGGATTTCACAGGCCAATGAAGATTAACCAGTCATCATTAATACTCTGCTTAAAAACACTGCCTCATAGTCGTGGATACAAGTAGACATTTTCCAGAGTGTGGTGAAAACTTTGTTTTTCTATAATGCACGTGTGTGTGTGTGTGTGTGTGTGTGTGTGTGTGTGTGTGTGTATGTGTGTGTGTGATTGTATGTATATATTACATGTGCTAGTACCCTCACATAGATGTAAACCAGAAGATAGCCTCAGCTGTCATCTTCAGGAACACTGTCCATCTCCTTGGAGAAAAGGTCTCCTGCTGGACTAGAACTGATCAATTAGGCTAGACTGACCGGCCAGTGAACTCCAGAGAACCTCCTGTCTCCACCTCCTTCATACTGGGATTATAAGAGGATACCAAATCACCATGCCAGGCTTTTAAAATCTGGGTTCTGGACTGAATTTAGGTCCTTAAGGTTGCAAGACAACATTTGCCAACTGAAACACCTCCTCAAACCTTGACTATATCTGGAATGAACTATAATCCAGAAATGGAGGACACAATTGTGATCCAGATATTGAGGCAAGAAGACAACATGCCTTTAATCCAGACCTTGAGGCTGGAATGCACACCTTTAATCTGGGCCACACCTTCTGCTAGAAGCCTATATAAGAACAACAGAAATGACCAGAAACCCACAATGATGACTCCCAACTAAAAATCTAAGCAGTAGTGGAGAGGCTACCTTAAATGCCCTTTCCCTATAATGATATTGATGACTACCTTAAATGCCATCTTAGAGTCTTCATCCAGTAGCTGATGGGAGCAGAAGCAGAGATTCTTGGCTAAGCACTGAGCAGAACTCCTGGAATCCAGTTGTAGAGAGGGAGAAGTGATGAGCAAAGGAGTCAAGACCATGCTGGGCAAACCCACAGAAACAGCTGACCTGAGCAAGTGGGAGCTCATGGACCACAGGCAGACAGCTGGGAAATCAACATAAGACCAAACCAGGCCCCCTGAACATAGGTGACAGATAGGAGGCCTGGGCAGACTATGGGGCCTCTTGTGGTGAAACCACTATTTATTCCTAGTGCAGGAACAGAATTTGGGAGCCCATTCCCCCATAGAGGGATACTCTCTCAGCCTAGATGCATGAGGGAGGGCCTAGGCCCTGCCCCAAATGATGTGACTTTTATGATTTCCCCCATGGAAGGCCTCACTCTCCTTGGGGAGAGGAGAGGGGGGAACCACGGGGAGTCGTGGGGGGGGGTCATGGGAGGGAGAGGGAACTGGGATTGGTATGTAAAATAAGATTGTTTCTAATTTAAATAAAAATAACTCAAAAAAGGACAATGGAAGAAGGAAGGGTTGTTCTTTGCCTGCTTACGCTCACCTCAGTCAGCCCATCCATTAGTTCTTCTGGACACGCTGAGACACACAGCCTCATGGGACTGAGGTACTAGATTCTTGGACTTTCACTTCATAAATAGTAGCCATTGTTGGACTGCAGCTTGTAAGTCATTCCAAATAAGAGAGACAGAATAGGAGAGAGAGATTCATTTGTTATGATAAATCTTTCTGCCAAAAGCCACCGAGCCCCACTGCTAGGTGTGTTTTTTACGCCGCCTGCCTGAGTTAGGGCCCAAATGAATACACAGAAACTTGTATTAGGTTCAAAGCTGCTTGGCCAATGACTAGGATTTCTCATCTGTTAGCTCAGTCTTATTTATCATAAACCTATATATTTTATAAGACTTATCTTATTGGACGCCTTCCGTTGGTGTTCTCCTTTGCCAGTGGATCACATCTCAGCACAGGAGGATGCGAAGGTGGAAAAGGACTCTTCCTGTTTCTCCTTGCTTAAATATGAATCTCCTTGCTATGTCACTTCCAGCCTGGATCACCACTTCTCTACTACATTTCCCAGAATCCTCTTTGGCTCCTAGTCCTGTCTAACTTGCTGTTTCATTGGCCAAACAGAACTTTATTCAACAATCAATAAGATAAACATACACAGAAGTACTTCCCCCATCATTCAGTCCATAATTTCTGTGACTCTAGAGAACCCTATCTAATACACCTAGAAGCTGACTCTCCTCATAGATAATCCCCCACCCATGGCCTTACTCTCTGTTCTCTGTGTCTGTCTTCAGGAACCTGTCAATCTCTTTGATGCCAAAACTGCCAATGAATCCAACCAGGCACTTAGAACAAAGCAGTACTTCCTATACATTCTTTCCAAGTAATCTACCTTTATTTTTCTTCTTCCAGGTGACTTTGCATCACTCAGCCCTTAGGTATGCATCTTCTGCAACATCCTCATAGGAAAAAGAACCAGGTCTGCATGATCAGCTGTTCTGTTCCATTAATGGTGAAAACATGGGTAACATAAAATCAGAAACCAGAGCAAACAGCAAGGTTAACTTAAAGAAATACAGAACTAACTATACTAGATGATGAAATGAAGCTGGACTATTCAAGAAACATGTGTTCAGTGGTCCCACACTTCAGAGCAGCACTATCTGCTAAATGATGCCATTTCCCAAGAGCCAGCAGTAGTAGCCTATTTTAGAAAGAACGAACGTGCATTCAAAATATGCCTGGAAATCTTCTGCTCTGAGAATCTGTGGCTCTTGGTTTCCGTTTGCAAAGTCAAGGTCAGGCACTCAGTATACACAATTACTACTACATCATCCACTTCAACCAATTCCACAAGTAACAATCAGAGAGAAAGACTGATACTTCTTGAAGCCAAGTTTAAATTTCTCTTTTCCTTTCAAATCATAGAAATGTCATTTGAGGGCTGGGGGTGTTGCTCAGTGTGGAAAGCACTTGCCATGCAACCGTTAAGTGTCTTGGCTCAGATCCCCGGAGCCTACTCTATAGATGTGGTAGCAAATGTCCTTAATCCCAGTACTTCTAATGTCAGATGGGAGCTGAAACTAGAATACTCCCCAGAGGATGAATTGCCATCTGCCTTAGCATACACAGAGACAAACAATAGACCTTGTCGCAAAGGAGTTGGAAAGTAAGGAACAACATCCAAGTTGTCCTCTGACATACTCATGCATGCTGTGGCATGTGTGTACTTGTAGTTGCACACATATCATACACACACACACACACACACACACACACACACACACACAAACACATCAGAGGGGGGTGTTATATGAAATCATGGGCTTGTGCTATAGTTACTTGCCCAGGATTTGTGAGACCAAATAAACATCAAGGTCTCTCATTAACGCATGGCTAGCAAGAGACAACAGAGTCCAGGATACAGAGTAAGTTGTAAGCTTGTGTTCTCAGGATCCAGGGCAGCAAGAGAGCCATCTGCACAGGCTTTCCTTGTGAAGCAGCCTGTCTTAATGACCTATATGGTATACTGGGCAATTGGGCTGAAGAGTGTCCTGTTTCTAGGAGGAACTGGAACAAAGACCAGACTATACCAGCCAGCTCCTCCTTGTAGGCACTTGAATCACATTTTGGTCATTCTTAAGGGGGTACAAATGAGATATAGATATAACAGGATCTCAGGCCACCCTGAGAACTGTTCCTAAGAGAGTATTCCTAATGCCTGTACATGTTTATTATCAAGAACTATTCAAGGAGGCTAGTTTGTAACAGTTCTTGGCAACATGTCTCTCTACTGTTACTTTTATACATACATAATTTATGTCTAAATTGACTCCAGTAGTAAGTTAAGTAGTGCTTTATGAATTTGGTTCAGGCAAGAAAAGAGCTATTGAAATCTTCTGATACTAATTTGTGATACAATAACCAGTTGTCTCAAAACCTCAAGAATATCAATGGTTTATTTCTTATGGACACTATGTCTCTAAATGGTTGTTGGCTCCAGAGCAAGGGATCTCCACACAATAACTTAAAGATCTGAGACAATCTTTGAGGATATATACGTGTGTGTGTGTGTGTGTGTGTGTGTGTGTGTGTGTGTGTGTGTGTGTGTGATATACTACGAATTTACAATGAGATAATGGAAACTTGTAATTTTCAGTAGGAAATATTTCAATATGAGAACACTATAAACTTGTTTAAAATCAGCTTTCTTGAATGTTGAACTACAATAATAAAACTTATAGAAACTACTGAAATAGGTTAAATATTCATTTTCCCCTTTCCAGAGATAAAGTATTTACAATTGAAGGCTTACTGCTCATGGCCTTAGAATTCTGCCAGCATTGATTTGACCATTTTGGCTTCTGACCTTAGCGCATTAACACTGTAAATCTAGTAAGACAAGAACAACTAAGGTGAATTACAATGAAGCCACACCAGGAAGAGAAACAAACACACCAGATGGTCCTCCTCACCTAGCTTCATCCTCATCCTCATCCTCTTCAAAAACAATCCTACTGGCTGGAAGTATCCATGTCTTCCTCTCAGAATAAATCCCAGGTTACATCCACTAAATTTTTAGGAAAATACTGTATTTGCTACTGGCTACTGCTGGACTAGTCAGCAGCAGTCATGCAAGACAATCTAGTAACTCCTCTTTAAGATATATATTCCTTCCATCATTTCTTATGCTCTAGAGGACTAATGCAAGGCTATGATGTGCTCTGGGTTCACTGTTATGACTATTCTTCTCACAGAACCTCATTTAATGTTTAAGCAGCACTGTCAAGCACTGTTCTCCTGATGAACATCTTAAGCTCAGAGTGGATTTAGAGGTCATTGATGGTCCAAAGGCCCTCTGATCTGGACAAGGCCAGTCAGACTCCTGGGTACAAGCTCATTCCATTATGTTTAACATGGAGCAGCTATTGTCCTTAAAGCACAGTGGGAATCTGAAGACTGCAGACCAAGAATCCTTATGTATGCTGTTCTTGTATGGGGTTTGTTTGGTACGAGTCAACAGCCTCATGAAGGAGGCACACTGTGTCTGTGTCTGACTGAGGCCAGTAACTTCCTAAACTCAGAAGACACATGTCAGGGTGAAATACACAGGTCCTCCTCCTATCTCACACTGTGAACCTGCTCAACAAGTATTATAAAGAATGTAAATTTATTACTCACCATGCTGGTGCCACAACAGACCAGATTAGTTCTGGCTGATTCATCTTGGGGTCCCTCTGTGGTCGAGGGATGCCACCTTCTTGCTGTGTCCTGTGTGGAAGAAATTTCCGGGAACTATCTTTTGGGTTTCTGTTTATTCCATCCAGTAAAAGTACCACCCCTGTAACCTAGTCACCTCCCACTTTGAGGGTTAGGATTTCAACATGAATTTGGGTAACATAGCCATTAAAGATGAGAATTTCTTTTTTTCTATTATTATTATATTATTATTATTATTATTATTATTATTTTCCATTCATTTATTTAGCTCATAAATAAAGTCATGCACAATTATGATACACAATATAGTATGTTCACAATGGCTGGCTAAATTAAACCAATTAACATGTTATATCACATATACTTATCATTTTTGTTTTGAGAACACTTAAAGTATACTATCTCACAACTTTTAAAATATAGCATATTGTTATCAACCATATTTATCACGCTCTCAGTAGACCTCAAGACTTCTCAGAGTCCATGCCTCTTGTCCAACTGCAGTTTTATATAAAGATGAGAATTTCTTTGAACTGTGACAGACAAGTTATTCTTCCCAACAGATCATTTTGATAAGTTAAATAATGGCATTCATTAATAAGACATTTGCACAACTTAAGTGTCATCATAAATAGGCATCAAAACATACCACCCAACTGTGCCCATTTGACCACAGCCTGTGGCCTTTTGGTTTCTGTTTTGGAAGTTGTTTAACCAGTTGAGTTGGTAAAGAGAGCCTGGTATGGGCTA